ATCTAGAAGGAGTGCCAAATGGGTCTTTGAAGGCCAGCTACAGGCAGAACTCTGAGGCAAAGCTAACTCTGAAGAGACACGGGTGAAGGCAATTCTGGGCCTCAGGGAGGCCGGGGGGCTCCATGGTTAGGAGCCCAGGTTTCAGACTCATTGTGCCGCAGCCTGAATCTTAGCCATGCTGTTTCTGGGCACATGACTCTGCCTCTCTGAGCTTCAGTTTCCCCATCTGTGACATGGGCACAATACCGACTTCGGGCCTGCAAATCAGGACTAAACGAGGCGGCGTAGAAAATGGGCACCTGGCCCATTTCAGTACGTGATTGCTGATACTGTTACTGTGCCACTCAACCAAAATGCATTTTCTCTGGGCACTGCCCTCAACGCTGTGGGCATCTTGCTCAGAGGCCAGCTCCCTCCGTCACACTCTGATGGACTTTCCAACGTGGGCCTAGGCTAGGGCAGAAAGGGAGGTTCAGAGAGGCTGAGTGGCCTGCCCAAGGCCACACAGCTGGGAAGACAGAGGACTAGGACCTGACACCGGGTCTGCCCATTCCAAGCCCAGGGCTCTGTTACCTGCCCCCTCATGTCAACGAGACTTGTGGCCAGATGTCAGCTAGTAGTGGCAGGCATGACGATCAGGGTCCGGCTCCTCTAAGCGTGAGAGGGTTAGGAAATCACATTGGAAGGTGAATTGTCGTAAACAGGACCTTCTCGCTGGTGACTGTGAGTCTCTCTTCCCACAAAGGAACCTGAGTCATGCTCCTTCTTTCTATTCCAGGCAGCCTCTCTGGAGAGGATTTCCTCTGCCTGAATGTCTCGCCCCGACCAGAAGGAACATTTACTGGTTTTTGTCATCTACAGGCGATTTCTCCCTTTCTGGAAGCAGCTGTCTGATTTCTTCCGGGGACTATTTCTACTTCTCAATTAGTCTACACTCATTCTCCTCCAGTCCCTAGGCTGGCCCGGACTGACCCAGCCATCGACCCAAGATAAACCAGTGAGATTTTTGCTTAAATTGTTGGGGGCATTCTTCTTTTTCCTGAAGCCACTGAGCTGACCTGTTGGATACAGCTTGGAGCTGCGGCCACCACTGTATCACACACCACCCTGCTTGGGCATGAAGAAAGCTAAGAAGTGGAGAAAGGCAGGTGGACATTTTTGCTCCTGGATCCAGCCACATCTGCAGCCTAGTACCCTTAGACATCTCAGTTACATTTGGCCGATCAATGCTCTTTTTGAATAATCCATTTTGACTAGGTTTCTGTCATCTGCAACTAAAACAGTTCTGACTAAAACGAGATCTCACAGCCAGTAAGTGGCAGTATTTGGATCAAGGCCCAGGATCTTAGCCACTCTATTAAACTGGCATCGTCGCCTCCTCTGATCTTCATGCCAGTTCCTAGCAGCAACCCATGCCCATCAATAATCCCAACAGCTGACATTTGCTCAGGGCTTGACAGCCCAGAGACTGCTCGCACACATCATCACTCTTTTTAAAAAAGTAATTGAGAGATACTTCATGTACCATAAAATTCGCCCCTTTAAAGTGTACCATTCAGTGGTGTTTAGTACATTCACAAGGCCGCGCAACCAGGGCCATCATCTAATTCCAGAACATTTCCATCACCCCCCAAAAGATACCCAATAACAGCCTCTCCCTTTTTGCCCCTCCCTCCAGCTCCTGGCAACCACTAATCTGCCTTCTGTCTCTACGGATCTGCCTCTTCTGGACACACATCATCACTTTTAACTCCATATAAACTTTGTGAAATAGCCACTAGAGACAGGGGCACTAGACGGCACAATGGCAAAGAGTGTGGTATCTGGTGTCACCCACCCAGTTTCAAATCTAAGTTCGGACATTCACTAGCTGTGTGACCTTGTGCAAATGACTTAACCTCTCTGAGCCTAGAATTCTTCATCTACGTAATTTTTTTTTTTTAATTTTTTTTTTTCAACGTTTATTTTATCTTTGGGACAGAGAGAGACAGAGCATGAACAGGGGAGGGGCACAGAGAGAGGGAGACACAGAATCGGAAACAGGCTCCAGGCTCTGAGCCATCAGCCCAGAGCCTGACGCGGGGCTCGAACTCACGGACCGCGAGATCGTGACCTGGCTGAAGTCGGACGCTTAACCGACTGCGCCACCCAGGCGCCCCTCATCTACGTAATTTAATAAACTTAATATGAGGATTAAGTGAGTCATTCTATCTAGATGCTTAGCAGTCCGTGCTCCAGAAATGCCAGCTGTTTCTTTTGTCATTACCTTGTTACTGGTGAGGACAATCAGGCACAAAGGGGTTAAGAGGCGTGCCCAAGGCCTCATAGCACAGGTGGCTGGGCCCCAAGTCTCCTGACCGAGTCCTCTGCTTTTTCCATTACGCCACATTGGCCTAGCTGTTTCTCCACGAAAGCTTGGCCCTCTCCATACTCTTTTGTGCCAAGTTACTTTTGACAAAGCCAAGGCTACTCGCCAGACAGGAGGAAGGGGAGGGTGGGATCATGAAATCACCTCACTTTAGGGTGTCACGGCCCCACACGGGCCGGCCTCCTTGCCTGCTCCTCGGGAACAGCTGACTTTGGCTGGTGGGATCCCACCCTGCCCTCTTCCAGCTTCCTCCTCTGGGTTTTGGGGGGTGGCTGTCTCTAGGACAGCAGGGCCCTCTGGAATTCTATGACTTTCCCACTCCAGCCACCCATCTGGGCCTCTTTAAGGCTGGCTGAAGCACTGCCTTTGGACTAAGAGGGAGGGGAGTCTGAGGCAGCTATTTATGCTATACCAAACCCCCAATTATTGCCAATTATGCTGAGTGGGGAAGAAAACCTCACTTTTAAGTTCTGGTAGAAACAAGAAAGTTGAGTCAGAACAGGAGAGTGGAGGGAGTACAGGCTTTGGGCCAGGGACACTCGTGATCACGCTCTGGCTCAGGCATTCCCAAATGATGTCACCTCGGGCAAGTCCCTTCTGAACTGAGGGACAGCTAATGGCAGCTAATGTGCTTATTGAGCAAGGCGCAGCTCGATTAACCGTCACCACGAATGCATGAGGAAAGTTCTTTCATTCTTTAACATGCAGATGGGGAGACTGAGTCTCAGAAGCATACAGAGGTGACACCAAGCTGAGACCTGAAACAGGAAGCTGAGACTTGAACCCAGTCTCTCTAACCCCAGAGGTCAAGGTCTAAAGCCGTGGGTATGCCGCCCTGCTGGCTGCAAAACAGCAGCCATGGACATTTCCATATGCCCTTCTCCTCACTCCCGTCTTCATCCAACCTCCTCTTCTAGATGATGCCGGAGCAAACACCCCAACCTCTCTGGCCAAGCTGACAGGCGCGGAGGTACACTCAGGACCCTTGGGACAATCAGATTCTCTCTCTCCTGGAGACTGGACTCAGCACCTAGAAACTCCAGAGGGTTGACAACAGGGAAAAGTGAGGGACTGAGGTGCTGTCTGGGTGATGTGGGCCAATGGGCTAGGGGAGGAAGCCGGTCCAGAGAAGCTAGCAGTTAAAATAGGCTTGATGGGAGACCCTGTGGCCACAATGACAGACGGCTGGGGAGCTGCTGGTCCTCTGAGGGTCAATCAGGTGCTGGTTCTGGGGCCCTGTGGGGCCAGCTTCATTTCCTGCTCTGGGGCTCCATGGGACACACCTGCCTCCTCCCATAAATCTACCCCACTCCTCTCTTCCTGCCTAAGCTGCCCAGTGGCCACTTTGCTCTGTGGATTCCCATAATCCCCGGGACAGCAATCCTGAGTGTCGCCGTTCTCTGTCCCCTCTTATCCTTCATCCTTCTTGGAGGTGTCAGGCAGGCAAGAGGCCTCTGAAAGCAAAATACAGGTGGTCGTCCCTACACAGACCCTCTGTGCGTGAAAAGTCAGTCTAGCAACTTCAATCTCTGAACTGAAGATCTGCTATAATAGATCTGCCTAAGTCACCCCTGCACCTGGCAAAGAGGTGTGGATCTTGGTCCTTCTCAGACAGGACGATGCCTCCAGCTCATCACGTTCAAAGGTGTTGGGCATCATCTTCCCTTCCTTTCCCCCATGGTTCAGCCCTTTCCTGGCCCCCATGCTGCTCCTGCCAAGTCTGTTTTAGCTAGAGTCTCAGCATCCTTACCATATAGTCTCTTTGTGCACTTCTAGGTCTGCTGTAGACTAGAAGAAAAATATAATTTACATATGGTACTGTTTAATTTTGTTGCATTTTGTCGACACAGAACACCACTAATGAGGTCATTGCATTTTAATAATTAGGTAACAGGAGTCTCAGTTGGTTGACATTACACAACGACTCTTGGCAGTTTGTTATGTAGGCGTTTGAGATTGTTTTAGTGATACTGGGGAAACCTGCGAGAAGCACATTATCATCTCCTCTTCCTTTAAAATAATGAAATACAGGTTCTGAAAATTCTTTATTCAACATTTTTAGGAATGGATCAGGTCCATACAACCAAGATGTCGGTGGTTAATATCACCCAAGCTTCTAAAAGAACATGTGGGGTCAAGAGATAGGATGGCGTGCAGGACACTGTGTTTGCTGGGACTTCTGGGAAGTGACCTTTCACTCTTTCCTACTGAGTATAATCCCAGAGCGTTTTGTAACCACGTGGGATCTGAGGATAAAGCCAACACCACTGAAAGTAGGAATGCAGGATGAGAGGACGGAGCTGGGTGAGGTGGTACCATGAAAACCCTGGATCAATCTGTGCCTGAAGCCAGGAAGGTTTTTTTCTCCTGGGATATTCAAACATATGCTCCACAGATTTGCATGTCATTCTTGTATAGGGACCATGTTAATTTCTGTATCATTCTGACTTCAGTAGCTGTGCTGCTCAAGGGAGCACAATGGACATCATTTTTAAGTCTAGGAAATAAAAAAAAAAAAAAACCACTCTGTGTCCACTGTGGGGTGAGCATCTAGACCCTGAAGTCAAAATGGAAAGTTAGTCCAATTAAACTTTCCCAACCCTGCAGCCCATTGGAGACTCCAAATCCTTACCTGGAGGTCAAAGAACTTGCTGTAGCGCCGGTAAATGGCCTCTGTGGAGCCACTGGACCACGTGACCCGGATGATATAGACCTATAGAGAGGGACAGAGGAGACAGGCATTAACACCAAGGGATCTCTTCCAACATCCAGATGGCAAACAGACACGTGAAAAGATGCTCAGTGTCACTCCTCATCAGGGAAAATACAAATCAAAACCACAATGAGATACCACCTCACCCTTGTCAGAATGGCTAAAATGAACAACTCAGGCAACAAGAGATGTTGACCAGGATGCGGAGAAAGAGGAAGCCTTTTGCACTGCTGGTGGGAAGGCAAACTGGTGCAGCCACTCTGGAAAACAGTATGGAGGTTCCTCAAAAAATTAAAAATAGAACTACCCTATGACCCAGCAATTGCACTACTAGGCATTTATCCAAAGGATACAGGAGTGCTGATTCAAAGGGGCACATGCACTTCAATGTTTATAGCAATGCTATTGACAATACAAAGTACAGAAAGAGCCCAAATGTCCATCGGCGGATGAATGGATGAAGAAGATGTGGTATATATATACAATGGAGTATTACTCGGCAATTGAAGAGAATGAAATCTTGCCATTTGCAACTACATGGATGGAACTAGAGGGTATTATGCTAAGTGAAATCAGTCAGAAAAAGACAAATACCATATGATTTCACTCATATGTGGAATTTAAGACACAAAACAGATGAACATAAGGAAGGGAAGGAAAAATAATATAAAAACAGGGGCGCCTGGGTGGCTCAGTTGGTTGAAGGTCTGACTTTGGCTCAGGTCATGATCTCACAGTCTGTGGGTTCCAGCCCCGTGTCAGGCTCTGTGCTGACAGCTCGGAGCCTGGAGCCTGCTTCAGATTCTGTGTCTCCCCCTCTCTCTGCCCCTCCCCTGCTCATGCTCTATCTCTGTCTCTCAAAAATAAATAAATATTAAAAAAATTAAATAATATAAAAACAGGGAGGGAGACAAACCATAAGAGGCTCTTAAATACAGAGAACAAACTCAGGACTGCTGACAGGGTGTTGGGTGGGAAGATGGGCTAAAGGGACGAGGGGCATTAAGGAGGACACTTGTTGGGACGAGCACTGGGTGTGATATGTGAGTGATGAATCACTACATTCTATTCCTGCAGTCATTATTACACTACATGTTAACTAACTTGGATTTAAATGAAAGGAAAGAGTTGGGGGTGGGGGCGGGGAGCTCTTCCATCTCCAGGACTCTGGAGTAAAGCACAGGGCTGTCAGAAAGACCTGGATTTGAATCTAAGTTCTGCTGCTGACCTGCTGTGTGGCTTTGGAGAAGTTACTTGCTTTCTCTGGGCCTCAGCTTCCTCCTCAACAGTATGGGTATAACTCCCACCTCTGAGAATTATACAAAGGATTAAGTGAAATCAAGAATGGAAAACATTAACACCCTGCTCATCTCGGGAGATAGTGTTATTTTCAGCACTGCAGGGACTTCTTGCTTTCCACTCAATCCAGAGAGCCACGGGGCTGTCTATTTTTCCAGTCATTCTTAACACTTTGACTTTTGTCAGAAGTCGCAGAGACCTATGGCTCTTAGCGCTCTGGTATTTCTCATAAGCTAAGCCTCGTGCCACTGCCACCAGTTAGGGGCCTGGGGCCAAGTCATTTTCTCCCTCCAGGTGTGTTTCCTCATTGGTGAATTGGTCTGACAGCATCTGTTCAGGTTGACAGTGTAAGGATCTCACGCGATCGACGATGGGGGGGGCAACCACAGGGCCATGTTTCCAATCATTGGCACAAGTCACGGCACATGCAGAAAATAATATATGATGTCAAATTTGGGCAAACTGAGGTGGCAGCTGGTCAGAGGCGGTACCTCGTGGCCCCGCACACCACCTGGACAATTAAAAAGGATGTATGTGGGGGCGCCTGGGTGGCGCAGTCGGTTAAGCGTCCGACTTCAGCCAGGTCACGATCTCGCAGTCCGTGAGTTCGAGCCCCGCGTCGGGCTCTGGGCTGATGGCTCAGAGCCTGGAGCCTGTTTCCGATTCTGTGTCTCCCTCTCTCTCTGCCCCTCCCCCGTTCATGCTTTGTCTCTCTCTGTCCCAAAAATAAAAAAAAAAAAAAAAAAAAAAAAAAAAAAAAAAAAAAGGATGTATGTGAAAGCTCTTTGGAAAGGCGGAAATGCTGTATAAACACGATGGGCTCGACGGTGATGGAGGTCATGAGCTGAGGAGTGGCTGGAGGGACAACACATACGTAAATGAAAATAACCTGTTATTTTTTGCCCAGTACTGATTCCCTTTTCTTCCCACCAAAGCTTTTTTGACTTTTCTCCTGGGACCCTCCTTCCTCACCCCAGCACAGTGCCTTAGATACAGAGGTGGGTGCCATTCATGATCCATGGTGATTGGTTGAGAAATGAGCACGTGACCTGTGCTGGGCCAATCAGAGCCAGCAAGAGTCGGCTCTTTTGCTCCAACCCTTAAAAAAGACAAGCTGTCTTTTCTTTGAAGTTGCTAGGCTGCGAGGCAGTAGATCTGGAGCTGCTGCGGGCCATCTCACTACTGCCTGCAAGGATGCCAACATCAGCAGGTTCCTGGGAACACAGTCGAACCGTTAGATCCAGTTCTGCTTGAAGCTCAATCTACTCCTGGTCTGTCAAGTTTACTGAGCCGAGAAACCTTGGGCCAAACCTGCCCTCTCGAATTATTTCTGAAGCCAGTTTAAGTTGGGTTTTTGACATAGGTAATCTAGTCCTGACCGAGGCAGGATGGGAGGTAGGAGAGAGCTCTCTGAAGCCTGGAGTCATCATGGTGCACTTTGAACGATGTGGAAACTTTACAAGGAAACTTCCATTCAAAATGGAACAGGGTGGAGAAACCATGGGGGGCTGGAGCCAGGAACCAGTGTGAACACCAGGGTCTCACAGAAGACCCCATAGAAGAAATGAATAATGGAAAAGTAATTCAGGACAAGGTGGGGAAGTGCCCTTGAGTGCCAAGCTAAGTCCACCATGAATGACCTCTCCAAATCCAACATGGAATTTATTTCAAAGAAGCATGATGGATAGGAAGAAACCTGGGCTCTAGACTCACACAATTGCCTAACCTTGGGGCCACAGCCTCCTTAACTGTAAAATGGGGTCAGTAAGCCCATCTCACACATTGTTACGATGATTGTAAGAGGCAAAGCTCTGAGCTCTTTGCCTGGCAGAAAGGAAAAGTTCAAGAAACTTTAGTATCCCGCACTCTGATTCCCCAGGGCCTGTCCCACCCTGTTCATAAAAACAGGCTATTTCAACATCAGAGATTTGGGCATCCGGGCCCACCCCCCTCCCTTGTTGGTGCTCCCTGGTCCTGGGAACCTCATGGAGCCAAAGAACAGGTCAAGACATCCTTTAGGAGTCACCTCGGAAAGGTGATTTTCTGACAAAAAAGAACTGTCTCCAAAGCCACCCAGATAGTTGTCAGTTTTATGAAAAAGACATCCATTCAGTTCATCAAGACTCCGGCACAGAGATTCTGAATGGCTCCCATTTGTCATTCATTCATTCATTCACTCTATGACATTTATTAAGTACCTCTTGTGTGCTAGGCACTCTCTGGGTGCTGGGATGTAATGAAGAGCAAGAGCGACCTAGACCTTGCCCTTGGGAAATGGAAAGATGGGCAACAGACCAGCAGACAAGCAAATACGTATGAATTATAAGTTCCAGTCAGTGCTTAGGAAGGATCCAAAGTCTGGTATGATTGTACAATGGGGGAGGCTGGGGTGGATGAGTGTCCCCGGAAGGGAAGGCCCACTGGGGCAAGCAGGCTTTGAACGGAGACCTGAGGGACAAGGAGCTGGCAGGGAGAAGAACTGAGAGAAGAGTATTCCAGGCAGAAAGAAAAGGATGAATAAGGATGCGGATGCCGGATGGTTCAGGACATGTCTGAGGTGCAGGAAGGCCGTCATGGCAAGCAGAGCCGGGGGAGGAAGGAGGCTGGGGCTGGGAGGCAAGCACCAGGGGCATTACGAGGGGCTTGCAGGTCACAGGGAGGAGATGGGCTTCTATTCTGTTAAGGAGTTTCAAAGGGTGGGGTGTGTGTGTGTGTGTGACATGATTGAACGTATGTTTCAAAAAAAGTTTTCCTATGTATCCTTCTGGCTGCTGTGTGAAAAATGGTTTGACAAGGAGCAGGGACATCACTAAGGAGGCTATTTCTGTCACTGAGAGGGACACAGCCAATCCAATGGCCCAACATCCAGATGGGTAAATTGAGGCCCAGAGAATACCATACCAAAAGTCTTGTCACTGGGGGATGCTTAAGCAAAGTCTGGATGACCATCTGTCAAGAATAATACTAATGTGGATTAAAAAGCAAGGGAAAAGGGGCGCCTGGGTAGCTCAGTCAGTTAAACATCCGACTTCAGCTCAGGCCATGATCTCACGGTCCATGAGTTCGAGCCCCGCGTCGGGCTCTGTGTTGTCAGCTCAGAGCCTGGAGCCCGCTTCAGATTCTGGGTCTCCCTTTCTCTCTGTCTCTGCCCCACTCACACTCTGTCTCTCAAAAATGAATAAATGTTAAAAAAAAAAAATAAAGCGAGTATCAAAATAAAGCTCGTTGAGTGAACTAAAAAAAAAAGGGGGGGGGGGGAAAAAAGGTTGACCATCAAAGCTTCATTGTTTTCTGAAAACCAGTAAGAAAAACATTCCCATAAATGGAAAAAAAATTCTGCTTACACAATTCATTTTTGATCTCTTGTTTATAGTTTTTAAAGTTCTGTACATATGGTACAAGGACTCTGCAGCAGGCCTAATTGGCTTAGTGGAACCAACCTGTGAACACAATTTAATGTCTGCATTTTTAGGCACACATCTAATTTTTAACGAGCATTGCCCCAGTGCAGGGTTTTGGTCTTGCCCAGGGTTTGGGGTGGATGAAAGGGCATACTCACTGGCTTCTAATGACAACCCTGTTGCTGAGTGAGACTCACACTCACCAACCTCTCTGGCCGCAGTGTCCTTCTCTCTACTTTCCCTTGAGGATTCACTGTAATCACTAAGGTACATGGGGCTTTGCCCGATGCCTGGCACACAGGACATGTGCAAACAGTCTTTCCTGCATAGCAGCTGTCCGACACATTACTGCTTCTCTGGTTCTCCTCTACTCCTCTTGGTAACAGCACCTGATTTCCCTTGGAAGATCACTCCTCTGCCGCCACCGGGTCTTTGTGACAGGGAATGGGTGGGTGTCCCAGACAACTGTCTACCCCTGGCCTCCACAATGCTTCAGGGATGGGCACATGACCCAAGCCAGGCCAATGAGACTCAATTCTGGGACTTTTGATAGCATGATCTGGAAAGAGCCCCTCTTCCCTACTGTGACAGCTAGCTGGGAGAACCATGTGGGAAGCACCTGCCACACAGAAGCAAGCAGCCAAGAGGGACAGAGAGGGCCTGAGTCCTGCAACATCATTTGAACTCCTGGATCCAGCGTCCCGGTCATTTCATGGACACAAGCCAAAACCTTCCCTTTCTTGTGTAAGCCAGTTTTAGTTTGTATTACTTGCAACCAAAGCAATCCTAACATATCTGACCTCGACTTTTAGATTTTTTTTTTTAACGTTTATTCATTTTTGAGACAGAGACAGAGCATGAACGGGGGAGGGTCAGAGAAAGAGGGAGACACAGAATCTGAAACAGGCTCCAGGCTCTGAGCGGTCAGTACAGAGCCCGGCGCGGGGCTCGAACTCACGGACCGCGAGATCACGACCTGAGCCGAAGTCGGACGCTTAACCGACTGAGCCACCCAGGCGCCCCAACGACTTTTAGATTATATCCCAAATCCAGTTAACGCTCCGTGGCCTGCCGTTGAAGGAATTAAAAGCCGACTTCTTCATGGCAGCATTATTCACAACAGCCAAATGAGGAACAAAATGTGTTGTATACATACAGTGGAATATCACTCAGCCTTAAAAAGGGAGGGCATGCTGACACATGCTAATAACATGAATCATCCCTGAAGACATTATGCTAAGTGAAATCAGCCAGCCACAAAAAAACGAATACTGTACGATTCCACTTATAGGAGGTCCCTACAGGAGTCAAATTCATAGAAACAGAAAGTAGAGTGGGGGTCGCCAGGGGATGGGGTGGGGAAATGGGGAGTTAGTGTTCAATGGTGTTAAATGAAAATATAAGTGTTAATGAAAAAATAAAAGGTCTGGAGACGGATGGTGGTAGCAGTTGCACAACAAAGCGAATGCACCTAATGCCACTGAACGGGACACTTAAAAACGGTTGAGGGGTGCCTGGGTGGCTCAGTGATTGGCGTCGGCTTCAGCTCAGGTCGATCTGTGATTCAGTTTGAGCCCTCAAGGCGGTCGGGGCTCTTGGGCTGATGGCTCAGCCTGGCCTCGCTCCCATGTGTCTCCTCCTCTCCGCCCTCACCGTCTGCCATGCTCTCTGTCTCAAAAATAAATAACTCAAAAAAAGAAGAAAATTAGAGGAAGCTCATGCAGGTGGTACGCTGAGCTGTCCGACTTCAGCCAGGCAGACCGATCTCAGGGTCGAGTTCAGGTACCCCTGCGTCAGGCTCTGGCTGGATGGCTCGAGCGAGCCCAGAGCCTGTTAGTCGTGTATCCCTCTCTCCTCGCCCCTCCCCCGTTCATGCTCTGTCTTCTCTGTCCCAAAAATAAATAAGCGTTGAAAAAAAAAAAAAAAAGAAAGAAATTAAAAAAAAGCAAAAAGAAACAAAAAAAAAACGGTTGAAATGGTAAAATGTTATGTCATATATATTTTATCACAATTAAAAAATAATTAAAAAGGTTTTTTTAGTGTTTATTTACCCTTGAGAGAGAGAGAGAGAGAGAGAGAAATGATGGAGGGGCTCAGGCGGGGGCAGGGACAGAGGAGAGAAATACAGAATCTGAAAACAACCTCGGTCTGAGCTGTGGCTTGCAGAGGAATATGCAGGGCTCGAACCCGTGAGGAGCCCGTGGATTCGACCTGAGCCGAAGTCAGACACTTGACCGACTGAGCCACCCAGGTGCCCCTAAAAAAATAATTTTTAACAAAAGCAGATTTATATAGTCCATGTCACGTTCCTCTGGAAATGACACTGAAATGTTCTCCCTGGTACAGCCTTCAAAACATGTGCTGCAGGGGTGCCTGGGTGGTGCAGTCGGTTAAGCGTCCGACTTCAGCCAGGTCACGATCTCGCGGTCCGGGAGTTCGAGCCCCGCGTCGGGCTCTGGGCTGATGGCTCAGAGCCTGGAGCCTGTTTCCGATTCTGTGTCTCCCTCTCTCTCTGCCCCTCCCCCGTTCGTGCTCTGTCTCTCTCTGTCCCAAAAATAAATAAAAAAACATTGAAAAAAAACAAAAACAAAAACATGTGCTGCATATCCAAGAAAGGATTTGTATCCAGAGCTTTTTTTTTTTTTTTTTTTAAACTCTCAAAACTCAACAGTAAGTTAACAACCAACGTGATCACAAGATGGACAAAAGATTTAAACAGACCCTTCACCACAGAGAATATACGGATGCAAAGACATACATGAGAAGATGCCTGACATCATTAACCATCAGAGAAAGGCACGCCGAAACCATGATGAGATTTTACCACGTACCTATCAGAATGGCTAGAATAAAAATTGCTGACAAGAACAAACAAAAAATTACTGAAAACAAATGCTGACAAAAGTGTGTGGTCACCAGAACTCTCACACATTGGTGGGAAAGCAAGATGGCACAGCCACTCTGGATGGAAACGGAACCACCGGGTGAAAGGCTGTTGATCAGGGTAGTCAGATGGTGAAAGGATCACCCCACGGATTACTCTCCCAGCAAGGGGACAAATGTACCGTTTCAATGGAGATCTGGCAGTCAAACTGGAGCCAGGTGACCAAACCCAGCATTACCAATAGAGGCAAGCAGGCACCGCGTGGCCCCCGAGGCGATGCGATGTGGAATCAAGAAAATCTTCTGTCAAGTACTGTCGCCCAAATGTTGAACCTGAATCTCAAGCCTCTTGACCTAACTTCCAATTTACAGAAAACAAAAGAGGATGGGGAACAAGCTAAATGACACCATGAGGAAACAGTCAGACAAATTCAGAATGTGGGCTATTCTAGAAGTCTGCTAACAGGGCATCGTTCAAATGCTACTTCTTCCGGAAAGCTCTCTCAGACTGCTCCTTCCCCACCAATACTGGGTTGGGTCTCCCTGCTACATGTCTCCTTTGGTACCTGTTTCCCCATCACCGTTTCCTCATGTCAGTTAAGCTTTACTGCAATTGCTAGGTGTCTGCTTTCCCTCTAGGTTCTAAGTTTCTTGACAGAAGAGACAATGCCTGTCTTGTTCCCCGGGTGCTGTATGCCCAGCTCTGAGCACAGTGGAAAATCTATGCTTCATGAAAAAAATGAGAAAGAGACGGAGATGCCAGGTGGTCAAGCTCTCACAGGTGGCAATGCCTGCCCGAGGCAGGCCTGAGGTCTGTGGGAAGGGAGCCTGGTCCAGCCGTGTCTCTCAGATGGTCCCTCAGGCTCGCCTATCCTCTGTGCTCCGTGCCCTGCTTCACAACCCCTCCCACCGACCCGTCTGCCTGGAGCAGAGTCTCCCCCAGCAGCCGGGACTCCTTCCCTCTGGGAATGAGGAAGCAGAGACCACACTGGTGTCTGAGGGCCCCCAAGGGTTTGCTCCCGCTCCCTCACAGGAGGCCTTAAACTGGAATTAGCCACCATGGAACCCCCTTCTTATTCAACCTCAGCAGTCAGGCCTGCGTGATTCACAAAGCCCAGACTCCCCAGGCCCGGGTTCCCACCAGGCCCAGAAGTGCTGGGTTTCTTCACTTCCTCTAAGTCAGTACAGAGATGGGACTGGTGGAGGGGAGGGCTGTGGGGGCAGAGTATACCATGACCAGGGTGCTTGGGGTAGAGTTGGGTACATGGCTGGGCCGTGATGTCTCTCAAATTCCCCAGAGCCCGCAGGCTAGGATAACACGTCTCACATTTTCCTAGCCAGCAACGGAGGCACACAAGTGCAGTGACCTGCCTGAGGTCACGAGCTCTGCAGTTCAAAATGAGGACTCTGATCCAGGTTGCCTCTAACCCCGATGGCCTTGCTGCACCAGGGAATCAGGCCTCCACCCCGGCAGCTGGACTGCAGCTGGACTGTGGGCCTACAGGAAGATGCATGCTGGTTCTTCTGTTTTTGAGAGCCCACCAGGAGGCTGTGGGATTCAGGAGTTAAGATGGCCCTGATTCACCTCTGCTTTCAACTACTCAACTAGCTGCGTGGTCTTGGGAAAGTGGTTTAAACTCTCTGTGACTCAGCTTCCTCTCTGGAAGAAATGAGGATCACAATAGTTGCAACCTCAGAGTTGGGGTGATGATGACACGAGAACGTGCACACAGAGTGCCTAGCATGGTGCCTGCACGCAGTAAATGGTCGGTGTAGAGAAGGTACCATTGCCCTCAGCACGGTGAGCTAAGCCCAGGGACACAAAGCTGAGGGAGACCTGGTCTCTGCTCACTGCCTCTACAGATACGCCTCCCACAACCCGCCCACCTGCCCCCATCTCTCCACCCCCTCCAGGACCCTGCCTCTTCTACTGTCTTCTCCAGGCCCCATGAGGGTCAGAAGGACTGGCCCCTGCGTGGCCTGGGAACACAGGCCCAGCTCACCTGAGCCAGGGCACACATTTTCTAGCTGTCAGATGAGTCAGGGCCCTGTCCCCTCCCTGTGAATGTCTGTGGGGAAGGCCCCCGCCACCGCCTACCCCCACCCTGAGCCTCAGCCTCAGTGGAGGGGAGTTCTGTGTCTGGCCCAAATGCAGGGTCACCACATACCTGTGAGCCTGCCTGGTGCCAGGCTTTACCCACCCTGGCCTTTCCTCCTCTACCAAGCGGTGAAGACTGTCCCAGGAGTCCTAGGTCAGTCTAACCTTGCCAGGAGGTACCTCACAAAGGATGAAGAACCCCATCTGCTCATGGATGGTGTTGGGTGGGGCCTTGGCCACAGGGACCCCTGTATTCTGAGGACTACTCTGTTCTGAGGCTTCTAGAAGCTACTTTTCTCAACTTAGACTGCTCTCAGAAGACAGAAAAAAAAAAGCCCTCTGGTAGATGCTGAGAGTCCTTCTTGGACCCCCCATGTGAGAAGCACCACCTGTCCTGCCGGTCTCATGGCCACAACTGGCCACAACTGATCCAGGGCGGGCCAATCAGCTTCTCTCTCTCAGGTATCTAGAATCAGACCACATGTCAGCTCCAGCCAGGGGGTTGGCTGCAGCCTGAGCACCTCCACACTTCATGAGGGCACTCAGTGTGCAGAAAGGGACAAATGAAGGAAAGGCACAGAAAGGAGAGAGAGGGAGAGCCCTGCTTGGCTCCCGCCAGTGCTTCAGTTCCTGCTTCCAGGGCCTGCCTGCCCACCCATGGTTTCTATGACGCACGACAGGGGCCTGGGCCTTCCAGTTAATTCCCCTTTTGGCGAGAAGAGAGTTTTTATGCAACGAAAAGAATTCTACGATGTACAGAAGAAAGTTCAGGCACTATCTTAGGTAAAAAGAACAGGCTAAAAAAATGTAATCTCCATCTTGAAAAAGTTATACGTACTGTATATAAACGTATGTGTGTGTATGCATATACATCATTTGTGGTAGTTATGTTCTATAAAGTCTTTTGTGAACACTGATTTAGCAAATACTGAACCACTGCTCCTGGGGAACTACAAGATTAGGATCCTGCAAGACTCTGGTTCCAACGTTTTCATTAACCAGTCAGTATATAGCCTGGCTGTTTCTGTGTAAAGACACCTTATTTAATGTATATTATAAATTCATTAATACTGAACTCTGGGCCAGTGATACTATATCTCATGCCTAAATGAAGCTTATCTAACACGTGTATTTTCTCTGCTATGACACATCACAGCCTTTCTCAGCTTAGGAACGCTAGACGGCACTTTAGCACTATGTTTGGGGTCATTTTAAAATGTGAAATAACCGGGCGCCCGGGTGGCTCAGTCGGTTAAATGTCTGACTTCAGCTCAGGTCATGATCTCACAGCTTGTGGGTTCGAGTCCTGCGTCAGGCTCTGCGGTGACAGCTCGGAGCCTGGAGCCTACTTCAGATTCTGGGTCTCCCTCGCTGTCTGCCCCTCCCCCGCTTGCACTCTCTTTCTCTCTGTCTCTCAAAAATAAACATTAAAAAAAAAAAAAAGGTGAAATAATCAACAAAAGTACAAAAAAAAATGGCACTAAAGAGATTATGAAAAAGACACTTGTTTAGCGTGTAAGAGCTGAAACCAGAGGGCAGAATGTCGTCCTGTCTAACCTCAGCTGGGAACACGCACACTGTGTGTTTTTGCTGCTGTGCACATGCCCATCGTCTGCAAGCGACCACAAAACTGTGGTACGTTTTGATGCTGGATTACGAATCAATTTTACCAAGTAGGCAAATTCCCAAATATGGAATTTACAAATACTGCAGATTGACTGTAGGGCATATAAATGTGTGTGTGTTATGTGGATAAGCCAGTGAGATACATGTAATATATCATATATATGGTTTGCTTGGGTTGGCAGGAATATGTAGGACTTTTTTTTATTCTGTTCTTGAAGTTTTCTCATATTTTTCAGATTTTCTTTTATAATCAGAAAAAAGGATGCCACTATTCTAGGAAGAGAGAAGGGTCTGTGGCCCACTTTCTTGCCTTGAGCCCCGGGACAGCATCTTCTCTCACTACCCTGGCTCAGTCCTGGGGCCATCCCTCTGGAATATCCTTCCACATCACAGAGCACCTACCGGGTGCTAGCACAGCCGATGGCACAGGTGAGAGTGTGGGGTGGGAGGAAGTTGGGAGTTGGCAGAGGGGGCCTTTGTCCTGACCTTACCGTGAGTTGGGTTAAGTCCTCAGCCTCTTTGAGCCTCTCTGTTCTTTGAAAAATGGGGATAAAAATCCAACCTTACGGCATTGTAAGATCAAATGGGTTTTTTGTTTTTGTTTTTTTTTTTCTAAGCTCCAGAAATGGAACCCGTGTTGTCTGGAATCTCAGCTTATGGCTGGGACACCAGGGAGGGTATTCAATGTGTGCTCCCTAAGCCCTCTGCCCTCACCTCACCTGGCAGGTCCAGCCCTGGCCCAAGGCGGTGAGGGCTCCCAGTGCCTGGAGAGCCCCCATTAAGCATGCAGGAATTTAGACCCCATTTCCAAGAGACAACAGCCAAGGGGCCAATCTGTCCATGAATAAAGATTTAAATCAGAACAAAGCTTTAGAGGCCCCTGAAACACTCCAGGAGCAGTGGCTGGTCTGAAACAAGCCAAGCACCTGGGTAGCTCCCAGCAGCCTGGTTATCTGTCACCCCCATCCCCCGCAGACCCACTGGCCATGGCTGCAGCTTTTGGAAAGGCCCCAGTATTACGGCCCCAGGGCAGCATGATATGAAGCAGCTGTCGCCCTGCCTCAGGAGTGCTCTGATCTCAGACGCTTGCTTTCATCATATGAACTCTCGAAAACATGAGAAGGTGTTTCTGCCCTGTGCATAAAATCTCTGACCCGGGGGAACATCCTCCAACATCACTTCACTTTGCATATGTATTCAGTGGGGTTTTTAGGGTTGACAAAGAACCCAGCTTAAAGTCCCAGCTGATACTATTAGAAGGGGTGGGGCTGCTGCACAAGTCACGGCCAAGTGATTACATTTTGATCTGGATTGCAGTGGCCAGAACTTTGATTTGGTGGGGTGGGGAGGGTCTGGTCCAAGGGCTTTCCAAAGTGACGGTCTTTCCTAAGATCACTGTGTCTCAAGGTCCACAGGAGCTCAGGGCCCACGAGAGGGTACTAGCTGATACGGGATCTCAGCACTAAGCTGCAGGGAATCCCACAGAGGGAAAATTAGTCTCTGACATTCCCCTCCCTTCAGAAGGCTGGCAAAATGGCTTTTTAACACTTTCTCCAACATTTGCTGGTCTCTTCTTAGAAAAGAGGGGACAGCTCAGGGCAGGCAACACTAGCCAGGAACAACTTGAACACACGGCTTTTTCCTTTTCCTTTTTATTTAGTTTCCTTCTATTTCTAGCAAGTGCTAGTTTTCCATTTATGGTAGACAGTGAAAGCCTCACCTTTAAAAATAATTTAAGTAAAAAAATGGAGTCAATCTGAAGAATACTGAATTAAGAATATGTAGCACAGGGGTTTGTGGATATGTCAGACACTGTGACGGGGCCAGAAGGAGGCTCGAGAATGAGGGCAGTACTGTTTCAGTGGAATCCACTGCCATTCTCACTTGGTTTGGAGTTCTGTTGTTTACAGGCCAATAAGCCCACAACATTTCTCAAGTTGGAAGCCCTCTTCTGGCTCTACAGTGCTGGTGGGCAGTCTGGAATGACCTGGGAGATGGAAAAAAAAATTATCTAAAGAGAGGGCACCAGTGGTGCAGAAGGGACTGAGGCTGTTCTGCAGAGGCTGTAAGAAAGGCACATCAGCAAGACAGAGTTCTGTGATCCATTAACAATGTCTGCCACGGGCACAGGGATTGTAGGATGTGTGCTGTATACTCAGCATCCCTAATCTGGATCAACCCCTCCATTTTACAAATGAAGATACGGTTGGGCCAAGAGGTGCAGCAACCTGCCAGCTGTGGACTCTTTCACTTCCACGAGAGTGTCCAAATTTCTATACAGGATCGTCTTGCCCCGGCTCAGGCCTCCTGCACAATGACTTGTCTGGAGAACTTTAGGAGTGATTAAGCCAGTGGCCAAATTGGCCTGTAAGGAGCCCCAGGATCCTGGGGAGGTGGCTGGGTCTCTCTACCTTGGTTTCCACTAGGCAGCACCACTTTAGCTCTTGTATATATGAAGGAGGGTGTAACCCAGCAGCCTACAGGCCCGACTGCCAGAACTTGTGGGTCCGCAAGGCAATCATCAGTGAAGGTTCTGATAGGGCCTGGCCTCTTCCACTGCCCACAGTCCTCACTGCCAACAGCAGGGGGTTCCAAGACTTCAAAATACTTGAAAATCCTGCTCTAGACCATTCCTTATTTTTTATTTTTTAAATTAATTTATTTATTTTGAGAGAGAGAGCGAGAGAATGTGCATGTGAGCAGGGGCGGGCAGAGACAGAGGGAGAGAATCTGCACTGATAGCACAGAGCCTGATGTGAGGCTTGATCCCTCCCATGAACCGTGAGATCCTGACCTGAGCCGAAATCAAGATTTGAACGCTTAACCAAATGCGCCACTCGGGCACCCCAGACCATCCCTTATTTTACAGCTGGGGTTATGAGGCCACAGAGGGGAAGCGACTTGCCCAGGTCACATAGAGGGCAGATAGGAGGGTTGGAACCAGACTCAGAGCTCCTCTTGGGAGGTGCTGAGGACGCAGGAGCTCTGCTCCAGAATGCCATTCTTCAGATCTGAGGAGCAGCCGAGTCCCTTTCAGATGGAGGAAGGAAAAATGGTCTCTTACGCAGCTCACCGAGGGGCTACAGCTTCTGCTTAGAGTCACATAGTTTCTGCAGCGGGTGCTCAGCCAGCGATAACAGAAGCTGTCTTGTGCCGCAACCTTAACTGCAAAAGCACGTGCAGCCCTGAAATCAGGCAGCTGTGTCAGTTTCAAGATCCAGATGAACCCACTTCCTGCAGAGGAGGCTCCTGGGGATATGTCTAAGGGCGCCAAGGAGACGCAGACCCTAGTTTAAGTAAGAAACCAGCTTTAAACTTTAAAAGGCTAGTGCAACCCCCTCTTCCATTAAGCTCCCACACTCATTGGGTTTCTGGGTTGGCGGATCCCGAGGACAGGCTGGTAATGACTGGCCGGGCTCCAGTCTCTGGCAATATGCTGGCCTAAGGTGGGGGAGCCCAGTCTGAGGGGGGTAGGAGGCAGGCAGGGAGAGAGAGAGAGAAAAGGGTGGAGGAGACAGGGAGAGAGCAGGGGCAGTTGGATGGGCTCCGAAGGCTTAACTAATGGGAAACATGATTCTGCCGCTCCCTGTGGAGACCACGAGTTCCCTCTGGTTCCGATCTGTCGGCTCTCCCCAGCTGTCTGCCCAACATCTGGCCTATGTAGGTCAGCACTCCCAACCTCTTTTTGGAATTGCAACACCCTGCAGTTTGTCTGATTCCCAGCACCCCGGAGCAGCGACACCACCGGAAGTGCTGAAGACCGTGTATTTATCTTTTCAGACAAAGTACGTTGAGGCTATTCCTGGGGAAATGCTGCCAAATGTCACGATGTCCTGGAGACCCAGGATGTGATTGCAGGGTGTCACAGTGAGGCAGGACCAAGGCAAGTGGGGGCCCAAGACAAAACTATTGACCATGTTGGGAAATGTGCTGCTAAACACTGGCCCTGTGCTAAGTGCTTTATGAACAGAGTGTGCGATCCTCATGAAATGTCTGCCAAGAAGGTGGGGCCCCCCCTTAGGTCAGGGGAGGGAAACTCAGGCCCAAAGTGGTGATGTGGCATGCCTGAGGTCACGCAGCTGCGAAGGGCAGGTGACTTCAGATTGGATCCTGGCCCCTTCAGCCTCTGAGGTCGTCTCCTCCTAGCTTCCCAGGGCCAGGCCTCAGGTGTCCTGGCCCCAGGCCAGAACTTTCCTGTCCCCACATCGGCATCAGGAATCACCAAGCTCAGGCTCTACAGCAAGTGACACATTGAGGGTGGCTGGCTGCCAATTTTTCTTTTTCTTTTTTTTTTCCCCCAATCTTTTCAATTAAGTGAATGCTTGGAATGGGGCCCAAATCCAAGTGCTTGTGGCGTTAGCTGCAGATAAGATGCTCTGGTTCAGGGCTGTGTTCCGACCGCTCCTTGTCCATAGGGTACGCGGTGAATGTGCAGTGGAGCTGAGGGTCTCTGACCACCCGTGGGCAGAGGAGTGCGAGGCTGGGAGGTGGGACAAAGGGGCACTCTCTCTAAAGTGAAAATCTAATTGTGTCTCTCGCCTCTGCTTCAAACACTTCAGTTCATTCATTCGCTCATGCATTCAGCCAATACGGACAGAGTGCCCACTGTGTACCAGGCTCCCTTCCAAGAGCTGGAGCTCTGGCTATGGAGGAGACAGAGGCCCCCGCCCTTCTGGAGCTTTCAGCCTCGTCAAGCAAGACAACAGCAGCACGCTAGGGGGTTTTAGGGGCTTCCTCCCAGCAAGGCTCTCCCTTGCCTCCTGGCCCTGCACACGCTATGGCCTTTGGCAGGAACACCTCTCCCTTTGCCTGTCTAGTGCCTCTTTACTTCTCAGGGGTCAGCTCAGGAAGCCTTTGAAGACCCCACGTCTGGGTCTGGTCCCATTCTGTGGGTTCCCGCAGCCACTGGGACTGCCCTCTCTCAGTATACATTCCTCTGGGTGTGCCGTTCTGTTTGCACGACTGTCACCCCTTCTCCCCCAGGAGCCTTGAGGGGGCAGGGGCCAAATCCATCTGGTGCACCGTGGCTTTGCCACCCAAATCCCTCTGGGTGACATTAGGCCCTTGGGAGACATCTGGTGAAAGGCAGACGGATGGACAGACAGGCAGGCAGGCAGGCAAAGTGACAAAAAGCCAAGAGAGGGCCACGCAGTCATAAATCAAGGTGACCTCACTCAAGGCTCTCTGTGTCTGGAGAGTGACAATGCTCTTGAAATGGCTGAATGGACAGCTCAACTAGAAACAGAACCAGCTTTGTGACAGAGGAGAATGCAGGCATGGGGCCCAACCCGGGAAGAGAAGTCCACCTCTCACCCCCAGGCTTCTCGGAACAGGCGATGGAGAAAAAGAGCACACCACAGGAGCAAATTCCCATCCCACCAGGCCAGCCTGAGGGAATTCTTTGGCGGGGATGATGGAATTGTTCCATATCCTGTCTGTGGTGGTGGTTATGAGAACCTGCACATGCATAAAAACTCAGGATGCTATACCAAAAGAGGGAGTTTTACCGCACACAACTAAAAACTAAAAATAACAATCACACACACACACACACACACACACACACACACACACACACACACACATCAATCACTTCTTAATGTCATTAAAAAAACAGGCAGGCACTGGCCTTAGAGTACCGGGTATGAATCTCGGCTCTATAGCTGGAAGCTGTTGTGTGACTTTGCAAGTTCATGCATGGCTCCAGCCTCCATTTTCTCATCTATAAAATGGAGAGAATAGTACCTACTTTTTAGGGTTGGCTAAGGATTACAGGAGCTAATGCACCAAGGTGCCTGGCACACTGCCCGACTCTAGGTAGCTTCCAGCACTATCACTGCTAACCCCATTATAGATGAGGCGCTGGAGGCTCAGACAGTCCGTCTCCCCTGGGGCCAACTCAAATCTTTTCGAGGTAAAGCTATGTTAAAAGGAACAGTCAGGAAGGTCATGCTGCGAAACCCAATCAACCGTCCCCTCCTTGTGTGCCTGCACACGGAGCTGCCCACCCTTGGAGCCTGTCTTTCCCTCACTGCCAGAGTCTTCTCCAGATGGCGGGCAGCAGGAACCACTTCCAGGCTGGCCAGGCTACCTCCCTTCTTCTATACAGAGCCATGGAACTGATGGAAACACTCACTGGGCCGGGTGTGCAGCTCCAGCTTGGGCCTCTGGCTGCCAACACACGTCCTCGCACACATCTGGCCCAGAGCAGCATGGGGAACTTTCCAATGGCAAGCAGAGGTGCTGGCAGCTGGAGCCCAGGCTTGCTGAAACCAACCTGAAGGCTGGCTTTCTAGGAAAGCCTCCAGGGCAGGCACTTAGGGCTTGTGGGGATCTCTAAGGCTGCCAGGCCTCAGAGGAGCCCGGGGCCTTGCAGGAAACAGAGCTGAGAGATTTCAAGTTGGGACCTGTCCTGTGTTAACAGGGCTGACGGGACAGAACCGGGAAGCCCACGTGAGCACCCACTATGTGCAACACATCTGTATGTAGGGATAGTATGTAGGGATATCCCCACAGACAGTAGGGATAAAGCTGCCCAAGTAATGAAAAAGAATCAAAACGGGCCACATTTATTGGGCTGATCGGGGGCTATGCCAAGTACTTCGTTTATGTTATGTCGTGGGATCTGGAGACTCGGAAAGGGCAACTAGCTTACCCAAGGTCACACAGCCACCATGCGACACAGCCAAGATCTAAACCCCAGCAGAGTGACATGGTAGGAAAACCCCAGGATACGTGGTCAGGCAGGCAAGGTCAGGTGGGTCTCAGTTCTTACCGAAAGGGTCCGGCACAGTGCCTGGCACAGAGTGGGTACTCAAGAGAGACGACATCACAGGCCACAGGCTCCCTAGAAGCACTCTATAGACTCTATGGGGGCACAGAGGGGATGAGGGCTAATTTTGCAGGGAGAACTTCAGAGAGGCTTTCCAGATGAAAAACAAACAAACAAAAAACCCCCACAAAAACCAAAAAACCAACTGCTCTGGATCTCGAGGAATCAGTAGGAGTTTTCCAAAGGAGGACCAACACCTAATGACCACTTACTAAATCCCCAGCACTCTGCTGTCAGGAAACCCTATGGAGTGAAATTTACTATCCACCCACTTCACAGCAGAGAAAACCAACATTCAGAGAGGTTAGGTCACTGCCCCAAAGCCATGCAGCTGGTGAAGGAGGATGACAGAATGTGAACCCAGATTTATTTTACTTCAGAATGCCCATTCCTAACCAAGAAGACCAGGTAAAAAGGAGTCACAGGGACCATAAGCAAGTATGTTCATTTCCCCTGGCTCCCAAGAACATCAGAGCCGACCTCGAATCCTGCTTTACCACTTACCAGCCAGGTGACTTTGGGCAACAAGTCTCTGTTTTGAAATGTAAATGAGGCCACATATGCGAAGTCAAAGAGTGCCTGTGAGCAGTAGGCGCTCTCTAATGTACAGATTACATGGGCTCATAAACCAGTGCACGGCCCCAACCACATACCTACTGTCCCCGACAGGTTCGCAAACCTGGCTGCACAGTACATTTGGGGTGCGTTTGAAAACTCCAGAGTGTGACCCCCGTCAAACCCGCCCGAAGCCTGGGTTCAAACCCTGTGACTTCCTAGCTGCATGGGCCTGGGCAAGTCCTATCTCAGCCTGCTTCTCCATTTGTAAAATGGGGGTAATAGTGGTGCCTCCCTCATGGGATGACAGTAAAGATCAGCTGATTCAACGCATGCAAAGCTCTAAGCACAGCACCAGGCACACGGCAGCTACTCAATAAAGAATAGTTGTTACTTCTCCCCCAACCTACAGTTAGTGGGTACAAAGGCAATGAAATGTGTGCAGGTGCCTGGCTATTCTTGATCCGGCAGAAATCAGAAGACCCCAGAAGTCTGGCACCTTCTAAAACAAGGTCACATGGACTTGGGACCTCCAAGCTGGGAGGGAGTTCAGTGGAGGAGGAGATGGGGGCCAGGGTGGCTGGAAAGATGTAGGAGAGAAGACAGAGCAAAGAATCTGGCAGCCAGCTCTCATCCTGGGTCCTCCCCGCCCCGCTGGCTCATGCTGCCTCCTCGCTGGCTATTTCCTCCACCATGCAGCCTCAGCTCAGGCCTGGGCCACCTCATTTTGGATGCAGCGGCTGCTCCCTCCAGGGCCTCCTGCCCCTCTGCTCACCTCAACAGGGATATTTCTAAAACACAGCATCTGACTGGATTTCCTTCCTCCTTAGAGTCTCTCAGGGGCTCCCTCTTAATGAAAAACAGCAAAACAACCACACAGATTCACATTTAAGGAGCACTTCCTTACTACTGGCCATGCTCAGGCCAGTTAATCCTTATTCCCCTATGGGGCAGGACCTACTGTCTTCCCCATTTTATAGATGGGGTAACTGACTCTGGAAAAGCCGATGGCCTTATTTAGTTCAGGCCAACACAGTCACCAGTCTGGGTTTCTGCAAGGGCCCCCTGTCTGGCCTCCTGCCTCTAGTGGCCACTCTGACTCTGCCTCAGTGGGGCTGTGGACAAGGACTGGACGAGGGGGCACTGTGCCTGGATCCAGAGTCTAGACACCAGGATCTACGTGTTGAATCAGGTGAACAGGAGGGCTTGGGAAGAACACTCCCAAAGTTCGGAAGGATAACTGACACAAGTCCTTATCACCCTCCAGTCCTCCAACCAAGGCCAAAGGCACTGCAGCAGAAAACTGTGGAAGCGGAGACAGTCAGAGGGTCAGAAATGTGGGGTCCCCCAGGTGACATCTCAGGGAGCCTCTGGTCCACATCTGCCAGCTGCTGGGCCAGGGGGCCCAAGAGAATGCTGGGAGCTCTTCCAGCAATGAGGTGAGGCGACACCACACAGGACAGGCAGCCCAGCCTCAAGACAGCAACAATGCCAACCACACAGACTCTGAGTTGGACCGACATGGGTTCCGATCCTGCTAAAAACACTTACTCAAGCAAGCTACTGAGGAGCCTCAGTTTCCCCGTCTGTAAAACAGAGATGCTAATAAAAGTATTTCCTGTCTCTCAGGGTTGTTGTAATGCATATGATGGGATAATGTCTGCAACATGTCTGGTATAGTAGTGAACACCAATCCCCTTCCACGCAAGCAGAGCGAGTTCCTTAAGCCCAAATCAAATTCATATCATTAGGTTGAACCCAGTGAAACTGCCATTTGGGTAAAAAATGGACAATTTCATAGGGTTCAACCTAACAGCATCCCAGAGGGTTAGAGGATTCCTTCTGTTTCCAGATAGACTAAGAATTACAGTTACTTTTCTCTTGAGTGTTTACTATGTGTCATGTACTGGGATGACTCCTCCATTTATAAATGAAGAAGATACTGAAGTTCTAAGAGGTTAAGTAACCCGCCCAAAATTGCACAACTAGAAAATGACACAGCCGGGATTTGCATCCAGGTCTGGCTGCCTCCAAAGCCTGTGCCTTAACAGCTATGACAAAAGGCTTGGTCTGGTGGCAAAAGGAGGTCGTCAGGAGGAATCTGATTGTCTCAGCTGAACAATGTCAATGGCCATCGCCCTAGAATCATGGGACCTTGGGACTGAGAGAGCCCAAGCAGTTATGGCTTCAAGGAATACACGTGGCTCCTGTCCTGAGTAAGGCCCTGGACTATGAGGGACTCAGGCCCCGTGGGAGAGAAGACACGTCAGTGGATGACTGGACCCAATATATGGACACTGCAATGGTGCTTGTCCATCGAGAGCCTCAGAATCAAAGCTGGGTGCCCTGGTTGGGTGACAGGCAGAAAGAGGCCAACTAATCTAGAATACTCCCTAAACAACTGCCCCCTACCCCTAAGTCTGGCCTCATCTTGTCCCACTGGGCTTGGGGACATGGAGGAGAAAACAACTAGATGAGAATGTGGAAGGACCGAGCTCTCAGACCCTGGGGACAGCCACCTAGTAGAGGTGTCATAAGGAGAGAGGGATTCTTGCACCAGATAAAGGCGGGGGGGGGGGGGGGGGGTGGGGTGGCTACAGAAGTGGGTTCCAAGCTTTGTACAGACAAGGAGCCCTTTTTCCTGCAAAAACCGTAGTGATTCCTAAGGGTCAAGTTCTGTGAGTATCCTTGGCCACCCCTGTCCCCATATCCTACTGGGCACATCTGGCAGAGAGTATTCCTCCCAGCCTCAATTTGAGCTCCTGTGTGGAATTTTCTGCCAGCTTCTCATGGTTCATACACAAGTCCATGAGACAGGAAAAGGGGGAGCAAGGGAACAGGGTCCCCTCCTTCTCCCTCTCTCTTTCCTGCCTCTGCCATACTACACTGTCCTCTCCCCTCCAGGGAAACATGCGATAACACACAAAAATATAATGCAATATAAAACAATATAATTCTTCACAACGACTAACAGCCTAGATGTACTTCCTATGAGGCTGCATTGTATCGCTGTTTCCATTCTGTAGTGGAGGAAGTAAGGCCTCGGGAGGTCAAGTCACTTGTGCAATCCAGCTGGGAACAAGCCCTAACAGCAAAGTCTGAGGTCTTAAAACTGTCCGTGTTTCCACCACCAGAAATGCTGTTTTGGGCATATTTCTTCCCCAGACTCTTTTCGGAAGTACTCAAGAAATGAAGATCACGTTGTATGTACAATTTGTCTTTTTCACTTGCATTATATGGTGAGCATTTCCCCATCTCGTTAAAAATTCTTTGAACAAACCATGTTTAAAGAACCCTTAATAGTCCACCGAAGGCCATCTATCATTTATCTAATCACATTTCCAACGACAAACATCTAGGCTATTTTCGACATCGCTTTAATTACCACACCGCTGAATATCCGAATATATAAATCATTCAGGAAAACTGCTTTAAATCTCAGGGGGTGCATCCCGGGCTAGTCCATTTAGAGAATGCTTCTCAACGTGCGATCATTCCAGACCACCCGAGTCATATCAGCTGCGTTGCTTGTCTGGAAAGTAATGGTGATAATGATGATGCTAAGACAATACTAACAGGTAACTACCCGGCCCTTTTACAGCCGGGTACTGCTCTAAACCCTTTATGTGAAACAACCCACAGTAGGTGCCATTCTTATTCTCATTTTACAGATGAAAAAAGTGAGGCACAGAGAAGTTAAGACGCTTACTCCAGCTCACACAGCTGGGAACCAGCAGAGCCGGGTCGAACCCATGCCATCTGGCTTCCAAACCCAAAGTTGGAAACTTCTACCCAGAAGTTTTTCATCTTTTTTTTTTTTTTTTTTTTTTGTGCTTAGGACCCCGTTGGCAACCTCGCGCAACCCATGGACCACTTCTCAGAATGATCTAGCATTAATAAAATAAAGCACAAAGGATTTCAAATGAAACGGATTACACTGAATTATATATATTGAAAGGGTTTCAAAAACCAAAACGGCACATACAGGTACCCTTTATTAACGAAATCTAGCGGTAGGATGAGTAACACTACAATTCTCAACTAGTGAATGATCTACTTACTACTAGCAGACGATAAGTGAATGATCTTTGGGATCCATGCAATAACTTTAAAGTGATACGACACTACCTCTGGCGACAAAGTCCCAGGTATTACTAACATCACTGAGGGCTGCTGCCTTCGTTCACAAAGAAAGGCAATGCTAAGTTATGGCCAGAGGCTAATGGAAATAAAGATGAACTTTCCCCCTTCCAAGTTCAGGACCCTCTGAATTCTACCCATGTTGAGGATTCCTCTGCCAGTTGGCTTTCCCCCTCCAGAGCAAACCTCTCTGTCCCAGTGAAGAATAGGCAGCCCAGGCCTCAGACCCCTCCCTGTCACCACAGCTCCATGCTATGCCCCATCAGGGCCCCAATGCAGTGGTGATGCATTCCCAACAGACGGTGACCTCCATGGGGACAAAGGCTGCCTGGCTATCTTAGCCTCTCTCCAGCCTGGGGCCAGGCTTGGCCAGGGCAGACAATAAACCCACATCTGTGCAAGGGACTGGCAGCCAAGGCTGGCCCGAAGCCAAAGGCTGCTGATTCACACCTTGGCTGGGGAGGAGGAAATGGTGACGCCACTGTGTGGGTTTCTAGCTGTCTTTGCCAATGCAGTGGGCAGGGGGTCCATGCAATTCTGCTTAATTAAGCAGACTAGAAAATATTATCCTTATGTGCTTTAAGGCAATGTTTCCCTTCATGTCTGGGGAGAGAGACTATACTCTCATTTGTAGTCAATGATGAGCATAGAGCTGAGTGCAATCCTGGGTAAATTATTCCACCTTTCCAAGCCTCAGTTTCCACACTTGTGAAATGGGCTAATAATAGTACCCATGTGGCCGGCATCAATGGTTTCCACCAGCTCCTTCTTCAGCAACAGTACCCTGAATCTCCTACAATGACTGTCTCTCCCACTGCTTGCAATTTAGGGGGAGTATCTATCCCAATATCTGGCCCTTGCTGGGCCAAAGGACGGCCAGGTGATCTTGGGCTTGGCCAATCAGATTCTCTCTTCCTGGAGCTGGACTCCCACAGTCCCCTCTAATATTTCCCTCCCGTCCCTCCCACCCTGACTTCATCTTCACTGCACACAGCCCTTCTGTGGACAGGTGTTTTCTTTCTCCAAGATCCTCCCACTTTTTATCTGTGTTCTGCCCCCTCCATTCTCCTGTGAAAGGCCTTTCTAACCACCCAGCCAGCAGGAGGGGCCCTGACTACCAGCTTCCTGACTACTCCAGTGACTTCCTTTTGGACACCTCTGGCGCCGACCCCTGGCCCCCAGCCCGTGTATACTGGGGCCATGGCCTTCTTGAGCGTGGCGTCCATGCTTTGTATTCTTTTCTTTGTATTCGTTTGTGGTTGCTGGCCCACTCAGGAGCCCCCAGGTCCTTCTGGCCTGCACCTGCCAGGCACGCTGCATCTCTGTCACTCAAAGCTCTCCTGCTTTTCTCAAACACACTTTATGCTGGGGTTTCCATTTCTTCGCCTTCCTGTTCTCTGCCTGAAATTCCCCTCCCTTTCTCCACTTGTGGAATCCCTCCCCGGCTTTGTGATGGGCCTTGGATCACCTCTGCTGTGCCGCCTCGTCCAAGTCCAACTTCCCCAGAACCCAAGTGCCTACTCCCCAAGTTCCAGACTAGCTCCGAAACACCCTGTCTACCTGTCTTCTCTCAGAACGCTGACCTCCTTGAAGTCTGAATTCCTGGTTTGTTTGTCTGTATATCACCCCTGCATGTCAAAGTGCCGGGCTCCTGTAAGGATTTATATTTGTTCAGTGAATTCTCAAGAGACATGGTCGACTACAAAGTGCAAAGGTCTCTTGGTTGTTGTTTCTTTTTGAAAGTGGTGGTTCTGGTGGAACGGCCAGACAAAGTACAGGATGCCTGGTAAAACTTGAATTTCAAATAAAAAATGATTAATTCCGTAGTGTCAGTATGTCCCAAATATCGCATGTTTCTCTAAAGTTCAAATTTAACAGGTCATCCTGTTAAAGTTGGTACATCTGGCAACCCTAAGGATGCCTGAGGATGGCCTGGGATAGGCCTGCAGAGAAGCAGGCAGGAGAGCTCTGTCCACCTGCACACAATAGATGCACCAATAGTCCCTCCTCCCTTCACCACCTCAAGGGGGCCCTGTGCTTGGGCTCTGTGCCCACCTGCAGGCTTGCATCCAGGCCAGCAAGTATGGGAAGAAAACACCCCGCAGTTTGGAGAAGGGGGCGGAGGAACGATGGACGTGTGACAAAGCTTGGACCTGTGGGCTCCTGGGAGAGTCCCAGAGGAGTGAGCCACACAAGCCCCTGCCCACTGGCCCACTACGAGACACCGAGCCTCCTGACTCAATTACAGCCAGTTCCCATGTCGTGGCAGGGGGCAGCAATGCCAGCTCTAGCCAGGGTCTGGCTAGCCCTGCTGACAAGGGCTCTGGGGAAGGAACCACAGGGCCCCAGTGTCTGGGCATTACCCGAGGCCAGGAAGCTCCAA